GATTTGGCCTACCGGGCAATTGACTTCCAAAAGAGGCTGGTAAATAGAAGCAAAACACCCTACGTGGCCGACTTGCTCCTGATTCACCCCTAAGCCGAATATAGTTCCTCTAAAACGACCTTCATCGGCACGAAAATTTTGACAGGGAAGGTGTCTCATGATTATTATTATTCATTATCTTTATTACCACGTACATTTGTCGAGCGTCATAATTAATGGTATCGCTGTTCTGTTGATGCTGTTGCTTGCTGAAGTTTCCATGCATTATTTAATGACCAAAGATTCGGCTTTACTTCAGAACGGATTATTTCAAGTCAGACCCTAGCTGACTTTAATCGTTCATTTCTAGACTTAAATTTATTCCCAATGAAAAAAGGAAACAAGTTTGTTTGTGTATTATTATAACTACTGCGATATTCATACCCACGTGTATGGCTTTTCTAGATCAGATTTAATGGGCTTGATCAAGGGTTTAAATATCAGCAGTCAACAGCGGTCTGCTGGAACTCCATATCTGCATGCCTGCTTGGAACTCCTGCTACTGCGAGACGAGCAGAGCTTCAATTGCGGTATTGTGACCTTTGCAACGTCATACTCATGTTCAAAGTTATAGCTTATTTTCCATGCTAAATGTGTGAAACTAAACTTAATAATGTAGATATTCAGTATCGGGATACGGTTTTCATTCGAAGTAAATTTTTATATTCACGCTGAGATACGGTCCTGCATCAGCGGCGTTTCATGCACGCGTCGCATAACAAAAACAACGTTACATGAGAGGGTTACCATTACCTCGGGTCACATCCTTCTGTCTGAAATATATATTACCTAGAAGTACAGACTCTGGAAATAAACAAATGAAAGTTAAACTCTTGGAATGCGTGTTGTGAACGCATGAGGTCGTGGCGGTCTCGTGAGGCCTCTAGATTCAGACAGTAATGTCAAATAATCAGATAGTTGCTGGCACAAAAAGTTTTGTATGTTATTTAACTTCCTACTTCAAATGCTACTCCTCAGCATCACTTGCTCATATAGCTTTAATTGCGTAATGCTCATGAGGCATTAATTTCAGGAAGGGATGTAATGAGTTGAAGGTATGTGAAAAATGATAAATTATTTGTTGACATTCATGATATTCTTCATGAAAATTTGATTTTGAATTTTATAAGTGTCTCCTGATGCTGCAAAGTTAGGAAACTCCAATGGAACACATCACTCCAAGCATCACATGTGATGCTTGGAGAAGCGGTGAGAAATAAAAAAACGATTAAATAGTTTTTAGAAACTATAGTTTTCGATAATATTCTTTCATGTGGACGCCTGCCCAAAAAATCATTTTAAAGGATTTTTAAACAAAACGATTTTCAGATTCAAGACAGATGCAATATAAAATTGATAGTAAATTGAGCAAAATTAGGTTTGATTATCATCGCCATCTCAAACGAAATATGTATTCATACAAATTGAACAAAATAAAAAAATGTATGCGCTGTATATATGTTCCATTGAGAACATATTGTGATGAAATTATTTATATACGTACATAGACATCCGCAACGTGTCAGCCAAAGTCTAGGATGAATATGCCCCTCTATGTACAGCGCCTTTACACTATGCTGGTGTGTGTCAAATTCTGCATACGTAAAATGGCTTTTTGAAGATATCTATTTAGATCTCAATAATTTACTTTCAATTATACTAGAAGAAGGTGAAGTAAGTAGTAGTACTAATACTAAAAGAAGGTGAAGAGCTTTACTAGGTAGTTGAAAATATTTACAAATATTTTACTTTAATATTTTTTGATAAATATATTCTAAGAATAGCTATTTTATTAGTACATATTGAAACAATAAATCATATCTATTTTGGACAATACTAACAGATACTTAACTATGTAAAGGTTACAACAATATACATTTTGATACGGCACCTTGCATTATTTTTTTACATTAACGCAGAAAGTTAAGTTTAAACATAAGCAAAAAATACTATGATCGTATGGTCGTAGAAAAGTCTTTTTTTTAATGGTTTTAGCCATGTTTTTCTCCACTGCACGTTTGCAGCACCAATCTATGCGCGCTAGGCTAAAAAGAAGGTCATATGCGCGTATACTTTATTATGGGTTCAAAGTGTGCACAAGAAGCTCAGCAGCGAGCCAGAGTTATTATATTTAGAATGTAGGCAAAAAATAACCTTTAGGCATTGTTTTAACGAATGCGACAGTAGAAAATTTACTCGACTATATAAACACGCTCTGTTTAATGAAAGTCGTAAACGAAGAGGATAAACGGAAAAATTTGTAAGGTTTTTATGAAAGAAGATAGTTTCAGTTTTAGTTTTATGTATTCTATATGTATAGTTTTCATAGGATAACAAATCATTATTGATTAGACTACTGCGAAACGGCATAATTGCGGAACAAATTTGTTCTATTTACTATGAAAAAAATTCCGATCCTAGGGACTAAATAAGTGAGGTTATCAAAATTATTTTCTATTAGTTGCGCCAAGATAAGAGATTTAAGATACATCTAACCACAACTTGTGCAAGTCTAAACTGCCCCACACTGCCCTAAACTGTCCCCCAGCTCTCTTAAATCGTAGAAGGAAACAACGGTATTCAGGCATTAAAGTTTGACCGCATAGCGACGAGAATTCTAATCCTTATCCGAAATTCATAGTAAAATCCTAATGAAAATATCATGACATGAGGAGAACAGAGGGTCTCCCCCAAGCTGCGGGCTGGTCTTGCTGGTAATAAGCAGAAGAGGGAGCTAGCGCTTCATAAAGCTCATCAGGCTTATTGCCCCAAACAAAGATAACACAAAGACGCACTTAGCCATTATTATGATACAGGAAGGACACGCACATTCTCCGGGCGATAATCAAGGGTCCAAAGCAGCGCATCTTTGCGCCGCTACATAATGAGCGGCCGCTTTGCCTGACGATGGAGCCTAGACTACGCGGCACAGCTTCAAAAATGTGGGGAGCGATCGCGCTGAGCGGCGCTGAAGGGAAGCACATGCAAATACATTGCTCTGAAGTAAAAATTATTTCGAGACGAGAAGCAATTATTGTTGTCATGTCATTTTGTGGCGTTAGGAATGCGCTAATGATTGTCCATCTTCATGTTTAATAATTTTTACTTGAATTTGTAAATGTTACTTTGAATAGCTTCAACCTTGGATAAATACAGGATTAATAATTTGTCCTTCTTATATGTGTATGTTGTAACTGACTTACTGAATCATTTGAATTTGATAAGAATTCAACCACAAAATTGTGTTTGGTAGTTCTTCTGAAACTATGTCCAAAGAATTAAAAATGCTGTGTTTGAAATATTTCCCAAACATAAATTTGCATGTTTTACTGGTAAATAATTTCAAAATTGGTTCTTTCTTCAGGTATAAGGACGTTATTCCTGCTCGGATGCGATCAAACCTGGTCTATGAGTTCTGTTGTGCACGCTGTGCATCTACGTACGTTGGAATGACGTCGCGTAACTTCTACATCCGGGTTTCTGAACACCGTGGCAGGAGCTATCGTTCTAACTTGCCTCTCGCCAAGTCTCCTCATTCTTCCGTGCGCCTCCATGCTGAACAGTGCGACGTGGCTGTATCTGAGAGTGATTTCAGGATACTCGGTTCCACTTCTGGCTGCTCGGATTTGAGAATTTTGGAGTCTCTACATATCTTCAAACGAAAACCATGTCTGAATAATGCGTTTAGCTCATATAATCTGGAAATAGTAAATCGCTAGGATTTTATATTCTTGTCGTACCCCTAGGACTAAGTTGTTCATAACTAGTCCTGTTTATTTCGATATAATGTTAGGTCTTGTTTAGGTTTTATGTCTGTCTTTGAATTTTGACTTTTAAAGTGAAGAGTAGGGGAGCTATATATATAGTGGAGGGCGTAGGGATTTTTTTTGGCTCGAAATTCACCTTCGGCCACCTCTGGCCTGCGGGAATTTTGCGCAACGGTTCCGCCAATCGCGGCAACCACCTTCGCGATAGCGCGGAAGCTGGCAGTGCCTGCCGGCCTGATCGATCGCTCGCGGTAGGACAGACTGACTGCGGCAGCAGGCCCTTTCCAGGCCGAGAAGCGCTGCCAAAATATTGCGCTGCTGTGGACATTCCTGCGCTGTTGACCACCCTGGCGTTGCGCTGGGGCGAGCGTTGGCGCAGGCAAGTTCACCCGCGGCTGGCTTCCAGACTGTGGCGATTTCTGACTGGGAAGCTGTCAAAATGTTTGCTGAACAAATAATTTTGCAACATTAATTGAATAAGTTGGAATTAGATTACGAGATCCTATGTGATTAGAATGGTTCACTCTACGGTATTTTATCACAGTATTTCAATTAGTTTTTGAATTTGAATGTACATGAACTATATACGATAACAAACTGAGCGAGGTTACTTGGATTATTATTAAATCTGATCGATATAAAATATGATAAAAATCTCATTATTTGAAAGAACTGTGGTTATTTTTTAATACAAATTAAACGTTTCATATAGTCAATTTTGTTGTAGTTTGTCTGACATGCGTTGCACGGAATCGCCCTCTCATTGGAACATAGAAACTCTTCTGTATTAACAGGGTCTCATCATTTCTGATCACTGTAGAACGTGAATGGTGGTCACTGTAAAATGTAATTAGGGAAATGTTGCACTCCAGCCGCTTACATTAATTAAGGTGATCAAGTTGCGTGGGAAACAAATGGAGTCTTCACCCTATCAAAATTTTTAGCTGGTGGCGAGCCTGAATTAGGAACCGCCTAGGACTCGGACCGAACGTAAATCAGCTTCTCTATATGTCCGCTATTTGGTCTACATTCCGGTCCCCGAATCAGACAGCTAATACTGAGGGGATTCTGCCAACTCTTGCCCTACTCTAAGGCGACTATAAAGTCGGCAAGGAGGTTCTGACTAGTCGCTGATTGCGATCAGTTGGCCAACTGACCCAGAATAACTCTAACGCGAGTATAGCGACTTTAGGGCGGAAGCTGAAGCATACCTTGAATTTTGCTAACCCTCTACCGTCTGATATAAGATTTCCTGAAAAAAATAATTTTTTTCTTCTTTCTATCGTGTTACTGATGATGCAATAACATCATATCTATATAACTTTTTTCATTTTGACGCATAGTGAAAAAATATATAATATGTCCCCCAGGGGGAACATTGGTCACCAGAAGGCAGTAATTTAAGTGTCACTCTTGAGGAACATCAGGCATACATACAAACATAAGGTATTATATTTCAATTTGAACTAGATTGTTATAATATGAGGATGGACAAACAATCAGGTAATGACAAAAATGTACTGTACCAAGATTCTCTGACTTGAAAAACATATACAGTCCTTTTTATTCACGTTGTTACAAAGTTCAGTTTGATAAGTTTACTCTCGATGGTAGGTGGCAAAGCAGTTAGAAGATACTGTTATACAAAATGTTTCCCCCTCCTCCCCCCCCATTTTGCAATGTATAATCCAAACTAAAACGAAATCGAAAAAATGTCTCGACCATCGCTAGATCTTTCTATTACGAATCGAATGGTATATGTCTTATTGCTGTAGCTTCAAAACTCTAGAAGGAGATAGGTTTGCCGTGACAAAAAGTGTGAATGATCAGGAGGGCGCGACAAAGTCCCGCGCGCCTCGCATAGGCACTCAATGTAGCAAGGATACAAAACTAAGCGTTACTGGTGCTCGATTCCAGTCAAGGATGGTGGGAGCGACTACATGCACACCTCCCCGTTCAACGACAGTAGGGTGACTGAGCTGCAACCCGAGTAGAGACTCAATTTATATGCTCGGCAGCGAATTTCCTCCGATCTAATTTGTTCTACAGCCCGTCCATTGCGGGATCTGTCCTGAACGCATAAATCAACGTACAGAGATGGTTTTGGTACCGTTGGATAGCTCAGAATGTCAGCTTTAAGATGAGACTAAAAACCGGAAAAGCCAAAACTGTCGATTTTGACCGATATGCTCGCCTTAAAGCATGATTGATATTTACGCAACAGAAACATTTTGTAAGTTTTAAGTGAAACTCACAGGCTGCGCGATGCCGGGGATGAGCTTGCCGTCGAGATACCAGGTAAGGAGCGCGGGAGGGCGGCCGTCGCTGCTCTGGCAGGCGACGTCGTAGTCGCGGCCCGCAAACAGCGGCTCGCGGGCGCCCAATATCGCCACCTTCGCGGGCTTCACTGCGCATGGAGGCGCCAGTGAGAGCAACAGCGCAGGATGATCAGCGTCAGGGTAGAAACTGAACTTAGCGGCATCAAGGAATGATGAGTCTTGATGAAATAATGCAAATTATTTTGCGATCAAATTGTAAGTAATTTAGTTCCTAAAGCAATGCTACTGTAGAAACTGGTCAATATAGTGTTGCAAGATAATACAGAACATTATAATTATAATTGAAAGTGTAAGCTAATGTTACAAAAGTTCAGTAAATAATTGATATATTTGCTATGGGATAGGTAGAATTGCAGACATCAAAATCGATGCCGATAAAGAAAATAATCGAGAATTTAAATCGATGCGGCGCAAAAACCGTAAATTCGTATAATTTTCCATCAAATGGCACCTATATATCAGTACTACCATCGTAGTCGACTTATATCACCTCATTGAACGCTATAAAAGAATTCATATCGTTACAAATTTCACTCAACCCAGGCATCCCAGAAAGCTCTTTAGAATCGTGTGACATATAACATGGAGGCGTTCATCGCTTTTTTTTGGTGGATGAAGAAATGTAAATTTGACCAATCTACGCGTCCTTTATTCTGATGTCGTTACATTAGAACTCGTATGTATTAATTGTGTAGCTTTTATAATAAATTAATAATAATAATAATTTAATAATAATCAGTTAGCTCCTAAAGAATGTTTATCGGTGGAGCTGCGACTGAATGCCATCCCTGGAATAAGAAATATTTAAAAAATATGTCGGAAAATTTTTCTCATATGAACTTCTTTTCAGAAATTAAAAAATTCACTGGCGCCATAGTTTTCTTAAAAAAAGCGCGTCTGATCTCACTGGGACATTTGCAATTCGAGGGCCGCTTCTGGGCTCATAATGGAGCGACGCTCCTGTAATCTATCAGTTTCTATATGCATGGCGTTGGACAGCACGCCTGAATTTAACCGCTCATATATACTTTTTAGAGATACATGGCTTCGTAATATTCTTATTTAGTGTTCAGAACACGGACTAGTGCACGTATCAGGTGAATTCAGGTTCATTTACCACTAATTGTTGACAAAGTGCATGTAATGTCGATAAAAACCGATGACGTTTGGGCGAACTCAAATAGAGAACGCACCACTTATTGACATTCAGGAATTACTTCTGTCGTAAATTAAAGAATAATTCATTATTAAATGTCACTAAATTATGGGTACCAATTTTCAGGGAGATACGCATTCATATTCGTTCAATATTCATTCATCATTTCTGTCACACTGTTAATATACCTTCTTAGTGAGGAAGTCATTTTGCGTAGACGTTACCAGTGTTAATAATAAAGGTGTCTCATCATTATTATTATTCATTATCTTTATTACCACGTACATTTGTCGAGCGTCATAATGGTATCGCTGTTCTGTTGATGCTGTTGCTGAAGTTTCCATACATTATTTAATGACCAAAGATTCGGCTTTACTTCAGAACGGATTATTTCAAGTCAGACCCTAGCTGACTTTAATCGTTCATTTCTAGACTTAAATTTATTCCCAATGAAAAAAGGAAACAAGTTTGTTTGTGTATTAGTGTGACTACAGCGATATTCATACCCACGATTTCTAGATCAGATTTAATGAGCTTGATCAAGGGTATAAATATCAGCAGTCAACAGCGGTCTGCTGGAACTACATATCTGCATGCCTGCATGGAACTCCTGCTACTGCGAGACGAGCAGAGCTTCAACTGCGGTATTGTGACCTTTGCAACATCATGCTCATGTTCAAAGTTATCGCTTCTTTTCCATGCTAAATGTGTAAAACTAAACTTATGAATGCAGATATTCAGTATCGGGATACGATTTGCATTCGAAGTAAATTTTTATATTCACGCTGAGATACGGTCCTGCATATCTGCGGCGTTTCATGCACGCGTCGCCCAACAAAAACAACGTTACATGGGAGGGTTACCATCACGTCGGGTCATATCCTTCTGTCTGAAATATATATTACCTAGAAGTACAGACTCTGAAAATAAACAAATGAAAGTTAAACTCGTGTAATGCGTGTTGTAAACGCATGAGGTCGTGGCGGTCTCGTGAGGCCTCTAGATCCAGACAGTAATGTCAAGTAATCAGAAAGTTGCTGGCACAACAAGTTTGTATGTTATTCAACTTCCTACTTCAAATGCTACTCCTCAGCATCACTTGCTCATATAGCTTTAATTGCATAATGCTCATAGAGCATTAATTTCAGGAAGGGATGTAATGAGTTGAAGGTATGTGAAAAATTATAAATTATTCGTGGACATTCATGATATTCTTCATGAAAATTTGATTTTGAATTTTGTAAGTGTCTCCTGATGCAGCAAAGTTAGGAAACTCCAATGGAACACATCATGTCGGTATCATTTCTTCGCTGAAAAAAACAGAAAGATGCTTGGAGTAGTGGTGAGAAATAAAAAACACTGTTAAATAGTTTTTAGAAATTATAGTTTTCGATAATATTTTTCCATGTGGACGCCTGCCCAATAAATCCTTTTAAAGGATTTTTAAACAAATAGATTTTCAGATTCAAGCTAGATGCAATATAAAATTGATAGTAAAGTGAGCATAATTAGGTTTGAATGTCATCGCCATCTGAAAAGAAATATGTATTCATACAAATTAATCAAGATAAAAAATGCATGCGCTGTATATATGTTCCAGTGAGAACCTAATGTGATGAAATTATTTATATACGCACACAGACATTCGCAACGTCTTCCTGTCAGCCAAGGTCTAGGATAAATGCCCCTCTATGTATAGCACCTCTACAGTATGCTGGTGTGTGTAACATTCTGCATGAGTAAAACGACTTTTTGAAGCTATCTAATTAGATCTCAATAATTTTCTTTTAATTATACTAGAAGAAGGTGAAGTAAGTAGTGGTACTAAGACTGGAAGAAGAAAAAGAGGTAGCTTTTCTAGGTGAGAACCTAGAACATATCTACAACACATATGTACATATCTACATACATGTACATATCTACAACATATCTGTACATATCTACATACACATCTACATACATGTACATCTACCTGTACATATCTACAAATAATTTACTTTATTATTTTTTGATAAATATATACTAAGACAAACACATTTATTAGTATATTTTGAAACAATAAATAACATCTATTTTGGACAATCCTAACAGGTACTTAACTATGCAAAGGTTACAAGAAAATACATTTTGATACGTCACCTTGCATTATTTTTGGCATAAACGTCGCAGTTTGGTTTCAACATGAGCAAAAAATACGATGATCGTATGGTCGTAGCAAAGTCTTTTTTTAATGGTTGTAGCCATGTTTTTCTCCACTGCACGTTTCAGCACCAATCTATATGCGCGCTAGGCTAAAAAATAACGAAGGTCATATGCGCGTGCTTTATTATGGGTTCAAAGTGTGCACAAAAAGCTCAGCAGAAAGCCAGAGCTATTATATTTCGAATGTAGGCAAAAGAATATAACCTTTAGGCATTGTTTAAACGAATGCGACAGTAGAAAATTGACTCGACAATAACACGCTCTGGGTCAAAATCGAAAATTTTGACTTTTTTGGTTTTTATACTCATCTTAAAGCTTACATTCTGACGCATCTAACGGTACCAAAACCATCTCTGTACGTTGATTTATGCGTTCACGACAGATCGCGAAAGGGTTAATGGTGGTGGAGTTCCTTAACATTTAATATAGGCCTAAATTACCGGTAGCACACTTAAATAGCTAGTCTGAACACGCTGTGCTTCAGTTATCCGCCTGCAGTCATATGGGAGGGTTCTCGTGCCGTCGTTCGCACCAGCCTTGACAGAAATTAAGCTCCAATATCGTGTAGTCTTGCAACCTCGCACCCTTGATCGAATGTCTTTTTCGAGGCGCACGCGACTTTGTTGGGCCCTACTGAAAAGTTAACTTATTGTCACTGCAAACCTATCTCCTCCTAGAGTTATGAAGCTACAGCAATGAGACATATACCATTCGATTCGCAATTGAATTATCTAGAGATTCGTCGTAGCTTTTTTCCAATTTCGTTATAGTTTTGAAAATATTTTGAAAAAAGGGGGTAGAAAAAGGGGGAAATGGAAACATTTTCGAAAACTTTGCGAAAAATACTCCCCCATCCACAAAAATTCGAAATTCGAAAAAAGCTTCGACGAATCGATAGATATGGTAGTTACGCATCGAATGATATGCGTCTCAATGTTGTAGCTTCGAAATCCCAGGAGATAGTTTTCTACGGTACCCCCTTTTTTCCGTTTTCTAAGAATTTCACGTTTTCTTTCATTTTTTTCGAAAAATTTACACGAACAAAAAAGTCTTAGAATTCTGTTTTACATATGAGTACCAAGTTTCAAAACGATCCGTCTGTAAACAAAAAAGTTTTTTCATCACCTATTTGGTAATTGATGGAGGTGCCTAGAGCGCCCCTACTAAATCATGGTTGTTTTAAGAAAGCAATGCATGCACGCGGCAAATAGACAAAGAAAGTCGCAAATGAAGAGGCTAAAAGGAAAAATTTGTTAGATTTTTGTGAAAGAAGATTGATTCTATATGTATAGTTTTCATAGGATAACCAATTATAATTGATTAGACTACTGCGAAACGGTATAATTGTGGAACAAATTTGTTCTATTTACTATAAAAAAATATCGCCGATCCTCGGGACTAAATGGGTGAGGTTATAAAAATTATTTTCTATTAGTTGCGCCAAGATAAGAGATTTAAGATACATCTAACAACAACTTGTGCAAGTCTAAACTGCCCCACACCTCAGCTCTCATAAATCGTTGGAGGAAACAATTAATGGCATACAGGCATTCAATTTTGACCGAATAGCGATGAGAATTCTAATCCTTATCCGAAATTCATAGTCCAATCTTAATGAAAACATCATGATATTGTAGAGGAGAGAAATGCAACTTTTATAGATGTCTTTTACATTGATAATTTTCTAATAAAATGGCTTTAGACTTCCGTGCGATGTTGCCGGATCCGCTCTGTATTGCGGAATAGTAGCAGCTCTATTTAGGATCACTCGATCTGCGCCACCATACGGGACAGGTGTGTACTGTGCACTGGTTAATTTGATATTTTTTAGAATAGGACCAATATTGTGTACTTTATTGTGACCTGGAATAGATTAGTGTGATGCCAATCTGTATAGCTATAGGTGTGAAAATGTCTTCTTAGTTTTTATGATAAAGTTTTAGACATGACCCATTGTGTACGTGTAGAATCTGTATCAGTTTTATCTCGTATACAGAGAGACCTCAAAATCGTGGTCCGAAGTTTTGACTTCGCTTCAACTCACAAACGCTCTGTTTATCTTGTCATTGTTGAATGAGAGTTAGAGGTTGAGGTGTTGGCTGCGGGCGTCGCCCTCGGTGTTGGCGGCGGCGCAGGCGTAGCTGCCCGCCTGGGAGCGCCTCACGCGCTGCACCGCCAGCGACTGGTTGCTCACGATCACGCCACAAGACACGTTGTGCTGCACCGACGAGTTCTGTTGTGCTAACGAATACAACTAAATGAATTTTTTCGGATTAATGTAATATAAGGACAAAATTAATCAAATGTATACGAAGTTATCATGAACTATTTTGCAATGATGTAAACAATTTCGATATAGAGAATTCAGACTATCTTTGCTTGTTGATTGGATGAAAGAAGGTAGATGATGGCTAAAGGTATCATTTTTTACTGATATAGATTAAACAATTGCATTATTGCAAAGTTTTATTATAACTATGATGAAGCATTCTGCAAGTCAACTCATAAAATTATATGATTAAATTGAGTTGAATCAATTGTCGTAACTGAAATTTTCCTCTGTGGGTACATGTTGCCGATGATTAATAAAACATCGGATGCAAGTGAAGTCGAACGACTAGTCCACAGACAAGGCAATTAAAAACGACCTAATTCTAGTTACCAGGCCATTAAAAACAACGGTTATTTTATCCGTAGACACTGGGCTAAGAAAGCGAGAAAAAATAGAGTGCTAGCGACACATTGTTAGAAGCGATAGAACAGATCAATTGTCTCGCTTGAAGACATTCGTTCCAAAAACACAAACCAAGAGAAATAACAAGAGGATTGATTAGTTTCACCAAAGTACAAAATGTGTATTGTAAATTTTGGGATTGGTGTTCATTAACGACAATAGATTAGCAGGTAAACCCTGAGTAACGAGACTAGCAATAATGTGATGTGGCCTGCTCTGTAATAATGTCCCGTCTGATGTACACTACAACGAGCCTGACGTGTTTATACATCATTTTAATATATAACTATTGTTATGCCTACTGCAGATTAAGGGTATGATCGAAATCGAGACCTGTAATACTGGTGCACCTTTTCAAGATTTTAAAAAGCAAAGAAAATTCAACGAAAATTCATCATTTCTTCATAGAAAACGTTTAGGAGTCCAGCTTCAACATCAGTTCAAAAACTCGAGAAAATAGATGCAATCAGTAGAAACTACAGTTGAAATTTCTAAAACGTACAAGTCTAAACTTAAATCCACAATGTATGAAAAGGCAAAAAATGTATATTACTATTTTCCAGTGCATAACAGCTGAATGTTGCATTCGAATTAAGCCTCTGTCCATATATATAAAAATTTTATAAAACACGCAAATCGGAAACATCGAAAGTGGAAGCTGGAACTTGAAAGTCACTATCAGATATAGGAACGGCACGCAGCTCGGCGTCAGTTAACACAGCCCAATGAGAGGGACGCGATAATATGGGGCCAGACCAATGACTCCATCTTTTGTGCTCTGCGACCCTAGGAAAAAATTGCGTGACGTCATACCAACGTACGCAGATGCACATCGAGCAAAACTATTTATAAACTAGAAAATGTCGCAAGTGAATAGGGACCTAAAAAATAACCGGTTTAAAATTGTTCCCCAACAAACATGACGACTAACATTTGGGAAGTATTTCAGAAACAAAAGTTTTAGCTATCTTGGCATAGTTTCGGATATAGGGCCGAAGAATTAAATATTCCTATTGTCCCGCAATAGAGTAACTTAGCTGTTACGCTGGGACATGAATTTTCTATTCGGGTAAACGTAAACACTGAATTATTCGGAAATCCATATAGCGAAAAGGAATAGCGCAAAATTCCAATTCACCGTGCATAGCATATGGTGTGTCAAACAAATACGAAACCCTCGGTGTAATAATGTTTGAAGTACACTAATCTTGAGTCTAATTGTGCAAAAGCTAAAAAAGCAGGTACTTAGACCAGGGAAAGTCGATTTTCGGAATACAGAAGTCTGAAAACGGTCATTAGATATAGTAACGTTGCAATTGAGGAAGGACCGTCTATTGTTTGATTCAAGGCTTTTCAAGCTCTAAGGTAAATTTGATGGAACTATGTGGCATGATTAGGTAATGGAAGAAAAGTTTGACGTAAGGGGGGATGATTGAGAATAAAAAAATATAACTCAGTACTCACTGCAGGGAGTGACAGAGAGCGCATTTTCTCGTCGACGAAAACGTGGTCACGGACGGACGGACGGACAGACACACGGACGGACATGATAAGCACAATCGCGCATTTTTTCCATGAATGAGAAAATGCGCTAAAAATGGCATCGACGTATCTATAGTAGGATACTGGCCTAAAATCGAGAGGATGTTTCGTCAGCTGACTGAGAAACATCGTGAAACACCAATAAAAAATATTAGCAGAGGTTGGGTCGAGTGGAACACCCATGCCCTAACCGTCAATTAGTCGGTAAAACGATCAAGCTAATATGAAAAAATATAACTCGGTACTCACTGCAGTGAGTGACAGAGAGCGCATTTTCTCGTCGACGAAAGCATGAAGTCACGGACGGACAAGGCGAGCACAATAGTGCATTTTTTTCATAAATGAGAAAATGCGCTAACAAGAGTTTAGAACTGATGATAACAGAAGGGATTAAAAAAATTACGGTTCAAACCAATAACAATGTCATTTATATTTTATATAAAAGACCATTTATATATTTATAACAGAGAATCGAGAAATTTTTTATTTGTCCAACATATTGATATATCAGTAGACAAATTTTCCACGTCGAAAGAGGCCATATAATTAAATTATTCCTGAACGTCGGTAAAATACATCGAATGGTCCACGAACGTACATGGATTGCCTATACTATTCTATAGGGTAACATGGGGCAGCGAGCCCACTGCGGGTCACGGGCCCATAGCGGGTTTCTCGCTAAGTATGGCAGATATTGGTCCGTGTTCTCTACCGCCGGTCGACAGTTTCACTGGGATGAAGTGCACGGATTTATGTTTTGCTAAGTGATTGCGTTATTAAGTTCTTTGCGAATAACTGTTTTAGTCCAGATAAAAATTTTTTTGCCGCTAAATAAAGTTTTTTTCCATTACTATAGATGAAGATTTTGAAATTACTTTGAATTATTTTTTCAAAGTAATATTTCTAGGGATANAAAGGTCTCCTTACTTTGTGTGATTTAGTTTTAGGCATGACCCATTGTGTACGTTTAGTGTCTAATAGTTCTATCTCATACAGAGAGACCTCGAAGTCTTGATTAGAAGTCGTGACCCAAATCTTCAATTTACACGCATATCTTATTGTCATTGTTGAATGAAAGTTACGCATTGATCGTCCTTATTCTCCTGTCGGTTACTGTGTTGATTTGCAAGAAATGACACGAACCGTGGTTGGGTTATTGCGGATTGGACAAAGTCTCACGTTACGCCCAGTTGGTACTGGCCCCGTAACATGATCAAATTAACTTGTCTGCTCACGTTATGGAACCACTCGATCTTGTAGATCTTCGGATTGGACCTGATGACACACTCGAAGTATACGTCGCTGCCTTCACGTATGTTTTCGGGACTCAACGATGACCCAAGACGAACTTCCACCTGTGGAGGATCTGATGAGGAGGGAACAATGAAGCTGCCGATTACAGAAAATACACTGGCTTAAATGGCACAGTAATTATCCTGCAGTTGTAGAAGTGAAGGTGTTATATAATATGACTGGCGATTAAGCAAGAAAAATTGCAATACGACGTCGACTATGAGAAGAAATTATTGAACGAACGAATAAACGTCTTTCTTGAACAATCGTGAAAATACAGCGAGCGAAGAGGCTAGGGCAATCTACCTGAACTAAAAAATATAACTCAGTACTCACTGCAGTGAGTGACAGAGAGCGCATTTTCTCGTCGACGAAAACGGACGGACAGACAAAAGCGCCTTTTTTCCATAAATGAGAAAATGCGCTAAAAAGAGAAAACCTGTAACTAAAAGGCGAGGGAGAGATGACATGACAAGATAAGATAGCAATCACGGGGTAATTTAAAGAAGGAATTATTGAAGGTGAGTTCAAAAATTACATATTTCACTGGTTTGCTCGCGGGTACTAGTACATGAAAAAAACCACCTGAGCTTACAATGTTAGGCGCTGTACTAAATATTTATAATTATAGACCTCATCGACTGTTTTATTAAAGTGCGATAGGTTATCATTGACGCTCATAAAAAAAGCAAAAAAAAAAAAAAGAATGGCATCTACATTTGGTGAAAATAAATGCTCTTCGATATGAAAAGTTTACAAAAAGAAATAATAAAATATTTCTAAAAAATATTTTGCAACGCAAGCGCTTTTGAATATTCTATTTCAAGTAATCCTGTACACTACAACTAGAAATGTCCTTTATTAGTAGAAAACTCTAACCACAGAATATTATTGACTGTGTATCAAGCAAATCCATGGGCCATAAATAATGCACAAGTAATGTGAAATATATATATATTTGAAATCTAGTACAAATAAATTAGAAATAAAACTCAATTTATATATAATATGGATCGATTTGCATTGAATTTCAACTGGAAAATCGTGGTTCATAATCATGAAATTTCCAGCAAAAAATACTTTTGTAAGGTAGGTAGTTACATCTGATGAAAATGAGATTGCAAATGATGGTGTAGATTTCTAAAAGTTTTCTACTGACCTGTAATGGAAGGAAGCTAGTGTAAGTTATTAATAGCGCTTTTGGCAATTAATGGAAAAACAGAGCAATAATACGTTTTCGAGCTTCGTGCACCTAGAAAAATTTTCATCATTGTTCAGTGTATTGTAATTTTTCAAAAACTCCAATCTAACTGTTGACGGTTTAATAAGCCACCCGTTTAAAAAGTCACAACACCAACTAAATGACAAATATTTTCATTTCGGAAGAGTTAGACTCAATTAATAAACTTCCGGCAGTAAAGTAATTTCAGTGCGACGCTGAGTGTTTAGTCAAATACTTTTCGTGCAATATTCCACGCTTCACAAAATACTTGAGGAAACACATTTTGCCTGATATATGTACACTGTACAGTAGCCCAAAATGTATCAATATCAAAATCTTTGTGTAAATATTAAAGGCTCGAAAAAATTTACTAATTAAACGCAATATATGTTCTGAACGAAAAATTTATCATACTCATTCTAAGCAGAAAGATTAGTTATTCATATACACGGAGTTTTCTACTCTCAATAAATAAATATCCTTAATAAACACTAAAAAATTCAAATTAAGTTTTCATATAATACTCACAATATATTTCAAGTTGCCACGTGTCTTCGATAGGCCGGTGCCTGATGACGGGCGACTGAGCGCGACACGTGAGGGACACGGAGTTGAGGGAGGCCGTGGCGTGGACGCGGGCCGTCGAGAGCGATTTATTTGCGCCGCCACTCTGGTTACAAGGTCGAGTTTATCAATACACGTGTGACAACGAGGCAGATAAAACCAGTGACCACAACATGTTAATAGCACCGCTTTTCTGATGGTGACAAGGTTGAGTTTATCAATACACGGGTGACAACGAGGCAGATAAAACCAGCGACAACAACATGTTAATAGCACCGCTTTTCTGATGGTTACAAGGTCGAGTTTATCATTACACGGGTGACAACGAGGCAGATAAAACCAGCGACAACAACATGTTAATAGTACCGCATTTCTNGCGACCACAACATGTTAATAGCACCGCTTTTCTGATGGTGACAAGATTGAGTTTATCAATACACGTGTGACAACGAGGCAGATAAAACCAGCGACAACAACATGTTAATAGCACCGCTTTTTTGATGGTGACAAGATTGAGTTTATCAATACACGGGTGATCCTGAGGCAGATAATGGATTGCGACAACAGCTTGCTGTTATCGCGCCATTCTGGTGGTCACTAGGTTGAGTTTATCAATATAAATCAGGCAACAACAAATTGTTTTTTGAACTCCCAATGTGTAGAGTTCTGTGATCTTAAACTCAAACTTTCACTGGAAGCCTTCGGAAAATGAGCAGTCGATAAATACTTTTCGCGTACGGTGCGAATCTTGCTTTCAACAATTATACTTCTCGCTGTATACAAACTTAATTTTATAAATAATTTTCGCGCTACTTGCGCTATAGAATTGACGAGCTGCCTAAACTCAAATTGCTTCCTTTTCTTTTTTACTATGGCCAACGATAGCTGAAAGACTTGCATTTACGCGGTTAAAGTAGCTTTGCACAAAGCTTGCTAAGAAACATCTAACTTTTATTTGAAATTAATGAAAGACAAATTGCTATCAGAATGATTGCTGAAAAATTTTGCAGCATTAATTGAATAAATTGGAATTAGATTACGAGATCCTAAGTGATTAGAATGGTTCACTCTACGGTATTTTATCACAGTATTTTAATTAGTTTTTGAATTTAAATGTATATGAACTATATACGATAACAAACTGAGCGAGGTTACTTTGATTATTATTAAATCTGATCGATATAAAATATGATAAAATCTAATTATTTGAAAGAACTGTGGTAATTTTTTAATACAAATTGAACGTTTTATATAGTCAATTTTGTTGTAGTTTGTCTAACTGCGTTGCACGGAATCGCCCTCTCATTGGAACATAGAAGCTCTTCTGTAATAACAGGGGGCCATAATTTCTGATTACTGTAGAACGTGAATGGTGGTCACTGTAGAATTAATGTAATTAGGGAAATGTTGCACTCCAGCCGCTTACATTTAAGGGGATCAAGTTGTGTAGGAAATAAATGAAGTCTTCATACATGTACATACACTGAGGCAAGTTATTTAAAACCATTAAGACATTATTATTAACCTTGAAATTTACTTCAACGAATTCAGAACACAGAGACTTTTCGATATAATTCGCGCTTCAAGTTTGCCGTTTGATGAAATTGTTATGTTAAGAAACTTTGTTTGTTAATTTAATTTTTTCACACGAAAAATTGTGAGCTCACAAAAGCTACATCAGTCGAGTTGATTGATTTAAATGAAACTTTTTCAAGGTATTTTTCATTGCATTCATTCACCAATTTTTCAGGTTATGACCAAACATGGCGATGGAAAGGCAAATAAAATGAAATCATCAGATGCATTCTGGTCAAATTAACTAACAAATAAAATTCAATATTTCTGAATTTATTTTTTCTATTGCTTGGATATCAGTCGGCACCCGTCACTGGTTGTTTGTAACGCGTGTGGTTTATATAAGGATGTGACTAATTTTATAAAGCAAGCTCTAAGATTTATTCATATTAAACCTAGTTAATTCTAGATAAAATCGAAATTAATGTACTTTACCATACTCGAAAGTCGAGGTGACTCAGAAATACAGTCAGGAAAACTTCACTTTTGTGTAATTTGCTTCGGCTGAGTGGACTGCTTTGATGCAATTTATGCAGATTATTTGTGCAGACTATCATGCCATCAAAAGATGAAATTGGCAAAATTGAAAGTACGCAAAGCCCAGAAGATTTGGTAAAAAGTATAAGCCAGTAAATTCCAAATTAAGGGAAGCATATCGGTCAAAATCTATTTTCTATATTTAGGGAAGGATCATCTCCAAGCTTGGTGAACATATGTAAAATCGAAAATGACGACTATTTTGTTCATTTGAATTTTTCGAAAAAAATGCAAGAAAACGTGAAATTATTAGAAAACGGCCAAAAAGGGGGTACTTTAGAAAATTTATCTCCTCCTACAAATATCGCGCTACAACATCGAGACACGTATAATTCGATTTGTAAAGACAATATCTAGCCATTGTCGAGCCACTTTTTCAATTATTTTCTTGGTTCTCTTGTTATGATGATTTTTCTGAGAAATTTCGAATTTTCGAAATTTTCCCCTAATTCCCCCCCCCCCATTTTGCAATATATAATCCAAACTAAAACGAAATCGAAAAAGATGGCGCGACAATCGCTAGATCTTTTCAGTACGAATCGAATGGTATATGTCTCATCGCTGTAGCTTCAATCTCTAGGAGGAGATGTGTTTGCCGTGAAGAAAAAGTGTGAATGTTCAAGAGGGCGCGACAAAGTCCCGCGCGCCTCGCATAGGCTCTCAATGTAGCAAAGATACAAAACTAAGCGTTACTGGAGATCGATTCCAGTCAAATATGGTGGGAGCGACTACATGCACACCTCCCCGTTCAACGACAGGAGGGTGACTGAGCTGCAACCCGAGTTGAGACTCTATTTATATGCTCGGCAGTGAATTTCATCCGATCTTATTTGTTAAAGACCCCCTCACTCCCCTCCATTGCGGGATCTGTCCTGAACGCATAAATCAACGTAAAGAAATGGTTTTGGTACCGTTGGTTAGCTCAGAATGTCAGCTTTAAGATGAGACTTAAAACCAGAAAAAACTGTCGATTTTGACCGATATGCTACCCTTAAAGCATTATTGATTTATACGCAACGGAAACATTTTGTAAGTTTTAAGTGAAACTCACAGGCTGCGCGGTGCCGGGGATGAGCTTGCCGTCGAGGTACCAGGTCAGGAGCGCGGGAGGGCGGCCGTCGCTGCTCTGGCAGGCGACGTCGTAGTCGCGGCCCGCAGACAGTGGCTCGCGGGCGCCCAATATCGCCACCTTCGCTGGCTTCACTGCGCATGGAGGCGCCAGTGAGAGCAACAGCGCAGGATGATCAGCGTCAGGGTAGGAACTGAACTTAGCGGCATCAAGGAATGATGAATCTTGATGAAATAATGCAAATTATTTTGCGATCAAATTGTAAGTAATTTAGTTCATAAAGCATTGCTACTGTAGAAACTGGTCAATATAGTTTTGCAAGATAATACAGAACATTATAATTATATTTGAAAATGTAAGCAAATTTTTCAAAAGTTCAGTAAATAATTGATATATTTGCTATGGGATAGGTAGATTTGCAGACATCAAAATCGATGCCGATAAAGAAAATAATCGAGAATTTGAATCGATGCGGCGCAAAAAAGTAAATTCGTATAATTTTCTATCAAATGGCATCTATATTTCAGTAATACCATCGTAGTCGACTTATATCACCTCATTGAACGCTATAAAAGACGCTATAAAATAATTAATATAGTTACAAATTTCACTCAACCCAGGCATCCCAGAAAGCTTTTTAGAATGGTGTGACATATAACATGGATTCGTTCATCGCTTTTTTCGGTGTATGAAGAAATGTAAATTTGACCAATCCACGTGTCCTTTATTCTGATGTCGTTACATTAGAACTCGTATGTATTAATTGTGTAGTTTTTATAATAAATTAATAGTAAAAATAATTTAATAATAATAATCGATTAGCTCCTAAAATATGTTTATCGGTGCCCTGTCAAAATTTTCGTGCCGATTAAGGTCGTTTTAGAGGAACTATGTTCGGCTTAGGGGTGAATCAGGAGCAAGTCGGCCACGTAGGGTGTTTTGCTTCTATTTACCAGCCTCTTTTGGAAGTCAATTGCCCGGTAGGCCGAATCTGCGTAATATGCTTAAAAAGAGCAGCTGGTCAAGCTTCGTCATGATGCCCCTGGTCAAACGCTGATGACGCTATCGCACGATCGGGCTTATCAGTTGCTGAACAAGGTAAACGCACGAACAATCGAAGTTCCCGCCATACGGGGGTATGTGGGGGTCTACCTCCCGCACCCTCATCCGGACAGAGCATACCGTTGCAGCAATTGAATAGGAAGGCGCCAGTTTGAATCGAACCTTCAATCGATCAGTACGTGGTGACGAGTGCTCATTGCTCAATGCTTATCGAAAAGGTACTAGCCTATTATAGTTTTGTCTCATTCAGGGAGCTTTAAACAATTTGATGCTTTCAGAGAGCTTTAAACAATTTCCTTAAATTATGACGTATATGACTGGAAAATTGAAATTATGAAGGAAAATTTGTTAAGTTTTTCCCACGAGTGACAAGATGTAGTTGTATGGTGTAACTTTCACAATCACTTCTTTCAATCACTTCAGCAATCATACGATGCAAGTTCTTTTTTCGNCCGTGTGCCAGCGGCTGACAGGTCTTCGAATTTCGATAGGGTGGAGCTGTCAACTGAGCAAGCTCCAAGTCCATCCCTGGAATAAGAAATATTAAAAAAATATGTCGGAAAATTTTTCTCATATGAACTTCTTTTCAGAAATTAAAAAAATTCAGTGGCGCCATAGTTTTCTTTGAAAAAGCGCGTCTGAACTCACTGGGACATTTGCAATTCGAGTGCCGCTTCTGGGCTCCTGGAGCGACGCTCCTGTAATCGATCAGTTTCTATATGCATGGCGTCAGACAGCCGCCTGAATTTAACCGCTCATATATTCTTTTTTTAGATACATGGCTTCGTAATATTCTTATTTAGTGTTCAGAACACGGATTAGTGTACGCATCAGGTGAATTCATGTTCATTTACCACCTATTGTTGATAAAGTGCATGTAATGTCGACAAAAATCAATGACGTTTGGGCGAACTCAAACAGATAACGCACCACTTATTGACTGACATTCAGGAATTGTTTTTGCCTTAAATTAAAGTATAATGCAATATTAAATGTCACTAAATTATGGGTACTAATTACCAGGGAGATACGCATTCATATTCGTTCTGTAATCATTCATCATTTCTGTCACACTTTTAATATACCTTCTTAGTGAAGCAGTCATTTTGCATAGATGTTACCAGTGTTAATAATAAAGGTGTCTCATCACTATTATTATTCATTATCTTTATTACCACGTGCATTTTTCGAGCGTCATAATGTCGCTCTTCTGTTTCTGTTGTGCTGAAGTTTTCATACATTATTTAATGACCAAAGTTTCGACTTTACTTCAGTACTAATTATTTCAAGTCAGACCCTGAATGTAATAGTTCCCCAAATCATTCCCAATGAAAAAAGGAAACAAGTTTTTCTGATTGTTATAGTGTACCTACAGCATTATTCAACCGCGACACCGTGTGTGGCGTTTTTAATTCTATCTTATGGGCTTGATCAATGGTGGAAATACTAGCAGCCTAACAGGAACTACATATCTGCATGCCTGCTTGGAACTCCTGCTACTGCGAGACGAGCAGTGCTTCAACTGCGGTATTGTGACCTTTGCAACGTCATACTCATGTTCAAAGTTATCTCTTCTTTTCCATGCTAAATGTGTAAAACTAAACTTATGAATGCAGATATTCAGTATCGGGATACGATTTGCATTCGAAGTAAATTTTTATATTCACGACGAGATACGGTCCTGCATCGGCGGCGTTTCATGCACGCGTCGCCCAACAAAAACAACGTTACATGAGAGGGTTACTATTACCTCGGGTCATATCCTTCTGTCTGAAATATATATTACCTAGAAGTACAGACTCTGGAAATAAACAGATGAAAGTTAAACTCGTGTAATGCGTGTTGTGCACGCATGAGGTCGTGGCGGTCTCGTGAGGCAGCTACATTCAGACAGTAATATCAAGTAAGCAGAAAGTTGCTGGCACAGCAAACTCTGCTTGTTATTTAACTTCCTACTTCAAATGCTACTCCTCAGCATCACTTGCTCATATAGCTTTAATTGCATAATGCTCATAGAGTATTAATTTCAGGAAGGGATGTAATGAGTTGAAGGTATGTGAAAAATGATAAATTATTTGTTGACATTAATGATATTCTTCATGAAAATTTGATTTTGAATTTTGTAAGTGTCTCCTGATGCAGCAAAGTTAGGAAACTCCAATGGAACACATCATGTCGGTATCATTTCTTCGCTGAAAATAAAAAAACAGAAAGATGCTTGGAGTAGTGGTGAGAAATAAAAAACGCTGTTAAATAGTTTTTAGAAATTATAGTTTTCGATAATATTTTTCCATGTGGACGCCTGCCCAATAAATCCTTTTAAAGGATTTTTAAACAAATCGATTTTCAGATTCAAGCTAGATGCAATATAAAATTTATAGTAAAGTGAGCATAATTAGGTTTGAATGTCATCGCCATCTGAAAAGAAATATGTATTCATACAAATTAATCAAGATAAAAATGCATGCGCTGTATATATGTTCCAGTGAGAACCTAATGTGATGAAATTATTTATATACGCACACAGACATTCGCAACGTCTTCCTGTCAGCCAAGGTCTAGGATAAATGCCCCTCTATGTATAGCGCCTACACAGTATGCTGGTGTATGTCAAATTCTGCATACGTAAAATGGCTTTTTGAAGATATCTATTTAGATCTCAATAATTTACTTTTAATTATACTAGAAGAAGGTGATGTACAGTAAGTAGTAGTACTAATACTAGAAGAAGGTGAAGAGCTTTTCTAGGTAGTTGAACATATGTACAAATATTTTACTTTATTATTTTTGGATAAATATATTCTAAGAATTGCTATTATATTAGTACATTTTGAAATAATAAATAATATCTATTTTGGACAATACTAACAGGTTAGTATTGTTACAAGGGTTACAAGAATATACATTTCGATACGGCACCTTGCATTATTTTTTACATAAACGTAGCAGTTTAGCTTAAACATAAGCAAAAAATACTATGATCGTATGGTCGTAGCCAAGTCTATTTTTTAATGGTTGTAGCCAAGTTTTTCTCCACTGCACGTTTGCAGCACCAATCTATGCGCGCTAGGCTAAAAAGAAGGTCATATGCGCGCCTTTTATTATGGGTTCAAAGTGTGCACAAAAAGCTCAGCAGCAAGCCAGAGCTATTATATTTAAAATGTAGGCAAATGAATAACCTTTAGGCATTGTTTTAACGAATGCGAGAGTAGAAACTTGACTCGACTATCACGCTCTGTTTAATGAAAGCCGTATACGAAGAGGCTAAACGGAAAAATTTGCAAGGTTTTGTCTAAGAAGATCGATTCTATATGTATAGTTTTCATAGGCAAACCAATCATTTATTGATTAGACTACTGCGAAACGGTAAAATTGAGGAACACATTTGTTCTATTTACTATGAAAAAAATATTTCCGATCCTAGGGACTAAATGAATGAGGTTATTAAAATTATTTTCTATTATGTTGCGCCAAGATAAGTGATTTAATATGCATCTAACCACAACTTGTGCAAGTCTAAACTGTCCCACTCATCTAAAGTCCCCTCAGCTCTCATAAATCGTCGGAGGAAATAATGGCATCCAGGCATTAAATTTTGACCGCATAGCGATGAGAATTCTAATCCTTATCCGAAATTCATAGTCCAATCCTAATGAAATCATCGTGATATGAGGAAAACACAGAGTCTCCCCTCAAGCTGCAGGCTGATCTTGCTGGTAATAAGCAGACGAGGGAGCTAGCGCTTCATAAAGCTCATCAGGCTTATTGCCCCAAACAAAGATAACACAAAGACGCACTTAGCCATTATTATGATACAGGAAGGACACGCGCATTCTCCGGGCGATAATCAAGGGTCCAAAGCAGCGCATCTTTGCGCCGCTACATAATGAGCGGCCGCTCTGCATGACGATGGAGCGGCGACTATACCGGCACAGCTTCAAAAATGTGGGGAGCGATCGCGCTGAGCGGCGCTGAAGGGAAGCGCAAGCAAATAAATTGCTCTAAAGTAAAAATGATTTCGAGACGATAAGCAATAATTATTGTTGTCATGTCATTTTGTGGCGTGAGGAATGCGCTAATGATTGTCCATCTTCATGTTTAATAATTTTTAATTGAATTTGTAAACGTTACTTTGAATAGCTTCAACCTTGGATAAATACAGGATTAATAATTTGTCCTTATTATGTAAATTTTATAACAGACTTACTGAATCATTTGGATCTGATAAGAATTCAACCACAAAATTGTATTACTGGAATTATGGTTTGAAAATTCATGACGTCTTAGCAAGCTAAGCTGACGACGTCATCAATTTGCAATGGCCGGCAATATTATAAAATGCATCGTATCCTGATTACCGTCGTCCTTAAAGAGAATTAATGAGGAGCCTGCATATCTCAGGCCAGCTTCCCCAGGAGAAGCGTCTTGCCGTCTTTATTTTCAAATTAGACAACTAAACGTCACATCAAAGATACAACTCACGAGCGATGATAAACGCTGAGTTTACCACTAATTATTGATGATCAAGTGCACGCAGTCGATGTACATATGCGTTTGTGCTCTCAGCGTTGATATTTTTTTATAAAGCAAAACGTGCAAGAAAAAGTTCACTAGGATATCAGCACTGGAAGGCTGTGTACTCACTCGTATAATGGATATTTGGGTAATGCTAATTTAGGAACTCGATCAGTAGAGGGAAGGATTCATTGGCAACGTAGTAGCTAAAACTCGATTCTTCGCAAATGGCAAAATGTTCATAAGTAAAGTTCCTTGCAATGCTTCTCATTTTCTATGCATTTCACATCTGAAAGCTGAACAAATATTTTCTCATTCCTCTTTTCCATTCGAAAATTTTTTGATTCAACAACAGGAGCAAGAAGCTTTCTAAACGAAACCAGTTTCGTCAGTTTGCCTCGAATATTTCGGCAAATATCACATGCTGAGTGGCTAGAAAATTAAATATTTGGCTAAAAATGCGGGATTACATGACTCACCCTAATCAAAATTTCATCTGTAGTTTGTCGCAATCAATTCAATGCATAATTCGTGTAATTTAGATTCAATTCTTGTCAGGTAGAAGATCTGTACACAAAATTTTTTGGAATAATGAATTATTGCTTAGGCTTCTTTTTGTGTTTTTTGAGACACTGCACTTGTAAATTTCAAAGCGTAGTTTGATTGGGTCAAGTAGTGTGTGATGATGAGGCTATTGTACTGAAGTGATATTTTTTCTTATGACACTGACGATAATGAGCGGGTATTCACATTCGGAAATAAGTTGATCTTGCTTTACATTATCTAAATAATTTAGATACCTTGTAATTTTTTTATACAGACGACACACTTTGCTGATGCCTTAAGCTCTAATCCAAACTAGATTGCAGGTAATAAACCTGTCTACCGTTATCATAATTTTTATTCCTCAATTAAGGTTTCAAATTCTGTTCGGCGAATTTCGGTTGTGCTAATCGATTGTTTTTATTAAGGGTTTTCCGAACTGATGATGTGGCTGAACTCCGAAACGTTTTCTGTGAAGATATGTTAAATTTTATGAAATGATCTTTATAGGTAAATTATAAATTAGTTTTCGTTACAAACAATAGATCGAGGGACATTAGGAATGGTATTATTTCTAGGTGTCTCAGCAAAAAAAGTCAATGCCTGATTTGTAGCGATCGATGTACTCGTATTTATGTTTGCAATACCGCCTTTTTAATTTGTTCACTTCATGAGCTTCCCTCTAAAATAATGGAAACATAATTGGCTGTTATCCAGCATCGATCAAAGCAGATTCAGTCTTAAGTCAACCTCGGGTTGCATTTAAATCTTCGTCGCTGAGAAATGACAGCAGAAATTAAATGAATATTTAAATATTATTATTATTTATTATTATTATTTTTTTGTTTATATAATTGAAAATGCAGTACGAATAGGCTCACTACATTCATTGAAAATGAGGCGATGACGCAAATTAAGCATCAACTGCTCTAAGTAAAAGTTTAAATAACGTATACACGCACTAGTGTAAAAGGTTAAAATTTAATTGGTAGTAAACGATGCGATATAGAATCGTAATTAAGTATGACCTGAGGGTAGTTCGTATGTAGCGGGATCCGAGGATATAGAGGAACAGCGCAAACGATTATATAATATACTTTTAGGATTATAGTTCGGCTTACAATTTAGGATAATCAGATTATAAGTTGGAGCTTTAACACTGATGTCTTCGGCGTCCAGTTGAAGTGTGGATAAGTCTAGAGTGTATCTTCTACTCTGACATTAATTTAGGGTTACTGTCCCAATGGATAATGACAGTAGTAAGGGCTTACACACGAATGTTCTCGGCCCAAGACTGAGGTTAATCGCTTGAGACAGAGCTTTTATAGCTTCGCTATTTGACGTCACCAAGAGCGTGACTTATGAACAGGAAATGCTAATACAAGGAAATGCTTGAGAACATATCGCATGTGAAGGATATAATCTTCAACAAGGAAGACATCAATCAGGAAATATCCAGGGACGAATGGTATCAACATTGTCACCTGACACTATACCTAGACCTGAGAGTTACTCCTATAATGCTCAACCAAGTATAAAACTCGGTAAGAAACGCTTACGCGACAGCACTGCAGTCTGAAAAATTAATCGCATTCGTTCAATTTTTTATTTTTCAAAAGGAACTCCAGAGGCGAAATATTGCAACAGAAGATCCGTGCAAACGAAAAAGCTTTAATGTGACTTATTTTAAATGTTATACAGAATAAAGGTTTACTTACGCAGTAAAAAAAGGAAGTTTAAGCAGACCATGCAGACGAAACTTGCAACTCAGGTTCATCTCGATGGTGACGATGATGGTGACGGGTATGGTGAGGTTAGTGATGCCTACGTGTCTACGGTGACTCACAACTCACGGTTCATCTCGATGGTGACGATGGTGGTGACGGGTATGGTGAGGTTGGTGATGCCTATACCTGTCTCTTATACACATCTAGATGTGTATAAGAGACAGGCGTGACGAACTGTGGTTGGGTTATTGCGGATAAGATAGTCTCACGTTGCGCCCAGTTGGTATACTGGCCCCGTAACATATGGTGCCGTGAACACTTCTTGTCAGTCATTTTGTTTTCTTGTATGCATGCAGATTTATCTGCTTATGCTATTGCAGTTCATAGGTGGACGGCATGGATTTGAAGTATTGACAAGTGTTCTTGAGTTCTTGAATATCTTTGGTGAATGTGTGGTTACTTCACTGGAGTCGATAGTTTACGCCTCTGCGGCAATTGTTCCAACGTCATCGAATGATCGGAGGTCTCTCTGGTTTCTGTGTGGTGGGCAATTTCATACGTGACTCGGAGTGATCATTTACTGGTTGACTTTGTAAAACTGTCTTTTGAAAAACTAATAAAATGGCTATGTGTAGTAATAGTGCGGCTGAGGCCGTACCTGTTTTAGATAAGGAAGAAAGAGTTTTGCATGACAACTTGGATTATTTAGAGAAATTTTTAGAGAGAATAAATCATAGTGATTTTAGAACTTTAATTGTCTCCTAGGTCTAAGATAAGGTTGCGCGATTTTAAAGCAAAAGTTATTAGGTATGATCCTCTTACACTAGATGGGAAATCTGACTAGGAGGCATTAACAAAAGAGGCTTGTGCTAAAGATACGAGTAGAACGGGTGCAATACCCAAAACTAGGAGTATTTTGCGCGCCGCAGATATGCAGGAGGAGGTAGAAAGTCCATCAGATGTTTCGTCAGTAATAGAAACGTCTAGGAGTGATGAGACATCAGTCTCTGAGTTTACTGACAGTTCTAGTGGAGGGAAACGTACGGTCGGAAAGATGAAAAAGTTGAGAAGATTGGGAAAGGGTAAGAAAGTAGATATGGACGTTTTGATCAGGAATTTGGAAAAACTAGATAGTAGAAAGATGCCCACAATGTCGAAGTTTGATTTCGATGGTAGCTTAGGTCTGAGAAGTTTTTTGCGGAAATTTGAATGCTACTGTGAAAACACTTTTAGAGGAGAAAAATATCTGTGGATTGATGAGTTAGAGAGACTCCTCGAAGGAGAAACGCTGATGGCTCTCAGGAATTTATAGAACTTGGAGTGAGTTACCGGGAAATTAAGCAGAAATTATTGAGTTGGTATGAAGACACAAAGGACATTAGAAAGGAGAAGAATAGAAAGAGGTTACAACAGATTAAGTTAGAGCGTGATGAGTCATTATTCTTATTTAGCAGCCGTATAGAGGGAGTTTATCGAGTTGCTTACCCTAAGCACGAGGTTAACAAAAGTAAGATTTTGAGGGAGAAATTTGTGAGCTCTTTGCCAAAAGACGCGCGTCTTGCTTGGTCTTCTCAAGTCATGGCCAGTAGAATGAATGGGTCTAAAGTAACTTGGAATAGTGTACAAAAATTCGCGAGGGCTTATGACAAAGAAATAGAGTATCGGAGTAGAGGGAAAGAAAGCGGTCCGAACGAAATTTTCATTCAGGTGGGCAAAACTGACCCTCGTTCGTCTCGCGATATAGCGCCATCACAAGTACCATTTAGCATGAGACGAAATGGTAATCCGGTAGAGCGGAGAAGCGAATTAGATGAACCCAAGGTTCTGAGACGTTGTGCAGGTTTTCAGGATGCCAATTACATAGAGAATCGTCAGTACCGTAGCCAAGGGCAAATGTCAGAGCATGCTAGGAAGTCAACGATGCCGGTTGCATGTCAATTTGAGAAACCTGTCTGTCGTCATTGTAATAGACCAGGACATATCATACGAGACTGTAGGTCCAGGCTAAGAGCATGTTATGCATGCGGGGATACGGGCCATTTCTTTAGAGATTGTCCTCGTAAGATTGGTATTCGTAGGAGGCAAATAGGTCGTGACAGCACAAATGTTAACGATCGCCATTGGCAGGGCTCTGCCGGAAATTCGATTACGAGAGATGTTGTTGGAAATTATTCAGAACGTAGATTCGGTGGGGGATATTACAAAGAAGGAAATTCACGGGACCGGAATTACCAGTTAAGGGTTGATTCTAATCCGAAAGGGAATTTAAACTAGAGGCCTCTGTCCATGAAGGGGATTAGTGATGTTGTTGTAGAGAGACTCGGAGCTATGGGTAACGATGTTGTGAAGGTTAATGTAGATAATAAGAATCTAACAGCTATAGATAATTCTTCAACAGAAATTCAGTGTATAGTTTTACTGAAGTGGATCTGCTCGGAGTGGATATGGCAACCATGCCGTTCGCAGTGGTCAAACAGACAAATATGCCATGTTGCTGTGTATTGGGAGCAAATTTTTTGTCATCCAATGGGTTAGAAGTTGATTATAGTTTGAACCAACTCGGTCTGAAGGAACATAGCAGTTTTTCGTACCCTCTCAGAGCTGGCTCGGATAACCAAGTCAGAAATGAGGTGATTTATTCATTGGGTGTAGAAGTAGGTGATTCTGCAGGCATTTCTGATGAGGACTCTGAAATAATGGTTAGATATTCTTTTCTTTCGGAAGATTCTGTGGTAGAAATTCAACGGGGAGATGGTGCCATTAGGATGCTCAGGCAATCTCAATCAGGGGCTACGCACGGAGTATTGGAGTAAAGATTTAAAGCAATTCCGGAAATATCGTGTGTCATTGAGCATAAAATCTGGAGTAGTGGTGAAACGCGTTGGGAATATCTGGTTACCCGTTGTACCATTTCAGTTGATGGCGGAGGCGATGATCAAAACTCATTCAGAACTGGCGCATGTAGGGAGAACCAAACTGATAGAAGTTGTTCTCAAGCATTTTTGGCACCCAGACTTGGGAAAGGTGGCTGCGGACATTTGCAGTACATGTGTCCACTGTCAATTATTTAAAGTTTCTTCTCAGCTGGTTCGTCCTCCAATTTTGAAAGTTCAGGCAAACTCGCCTTTTGATTTGGTGGCGATGGATTTGGTCCAGTTTCCCAGGTCGAGATGTGGGAATGTTGCCATTTTAGTAGCGGTCGATCATTATTCTAAGTTTATGTGTGCTGTACCGTTGCGAGATAAGACAGCGAAATCCGTAGTAGATGCTCTCGTTGGACGGGTTTTGCCTTCGTTTCTCAAAATACCAAACCGTGTTTTGACAGATAATGGGCCAGAGTTTGCGTGTAGTTCCTTCGAGGAAGCATTGAGGTCATTTAATATTGCCCATATTTTTTCTACAAGATACAAAGCGCCATCAAATGGGTCTGTCGAGAGATGCAATCGTACGATAATAGAGCTATTGAAAGGGTTTACAGGTGGTGAAGCGAGACAGGATTGGGATCAGAATTTGGGTAGGGCAGTGATTATTTATAACAACACCTTTCACTCAGAATTGGGTATGTCGCCTGGTAGTTTTCTTCTCGAACGATGTCACGAAAAGCGGGATAAATTTATGATGAACTCAGATGTTATGGATGTGTGGCGTGATGGTCATCATGCATTCGAATCGTTCGCGTAAGGCCAGAAGGTGGCAATAAAAATTCAGAGGATTGGTAATCTGGTGTCAGATAAGCTATTGCAGAGGTACGATGGTCCATATGAAGTGACGCAAGTAAGGTCTAATGGTGTTACATATGAGATCAAAGACGTCTCCACAGGCAAAATCGTGAAGGCACATCATTGCCAACTAAAGGAGTGGAAATCCATGCCCTCTTATTTATCTAGGATTTGGTCCCGATTATCTTTCATGGATGAATCCGTAGACCGCGAGTGTAGTGACAGTAGTGTATGTATTCCTTTCATAGGAAATGCAGTTTCTTCTGAAGAGAGCACTTCTAGCGGGGAAAAGAAGAGGGAAAAGCACGTTATGCGGAAAAGAAAAACATGTTTCCAGCAGTCCGTCGTAAGAGGAGGTGTTTTGATGCATTAAAGCCATTGAGTGAGTTGCCGTGTTCGGAAATACCCGATCCTTTCGGAGAGATGGACGACCGTAAAATAGTTCAGCCAGAGAGAAGCTATAGTTCAGTAGAGTCCGTTCAGCTTGAGTCCACTCCTATATCTTTGGAGACTGCGACGACTCGGATATCTCCCGGGGACGTTTCCATTTCTATGGAGGTAAACGGAAGTGCTGATCAGAGCTTGAATGGCGGTGTTGTAGACAATAACGTAGACGACATTGTAGATCATCGAGTCCGAGCAGAAGGTGTAAGCCAGGGAGCAGTTCCTATCAGTGAGTCTCCTGATGCTGAAGGGGCAATAGAAACTACCAATCGGCAATACGGCGAGGGTACCAGTGCTCAGATAGAGGGTTGCGCAAGTATTCCTCTGGGGTGGGTAGACCATACAGAGCAAGTTATTTTAGAATGTGAAACTTTTCACGGAGTGAGGGAAGATAATTCTAGCGACATAGGAGCATCAGCTAAGCGAAGGGTTATGACTATCAGGAAGGAACTAGGATTTAGAGATAGGAGTAGGAGTAGCAGTCCATTCGGCTGTATTTGGGAAGGTCGATCGGATGATCATTTAGACTAGAGCAAACAAATGACGCGGTTAGGGACGAAAGCTTGATTAAGAGAAACGAAACCTTTTTAACCCAAATAAAAATTAAGGGTGGTGCACCGATGATTATAGGTGGCGATAGTAGTTTATAGGTGGCGTAACGGTGAGTGGCCAGATTTGCCTAAAATCGACAATAAAACATCAATAAATCGAAAGGGTGGCGAGTAAAGTTGGCAGTCATCTATGAATCATCGCTGATTTGTAAGGTCTGAATAATCGATAGCACATTGCAGGCAAATCTCTTGTAAGCCACGCATGAAAACCGTTTGCCTACACAATGCACGAAGGTATTTGCCACAGTAATTTATCCAACGTAGAAATGTGTTATTGGATTGCGGGTCATTCGAGATCAAGACGAAACCATGACTTCGTTTTGTGTGCTTGGCTTTTAAGAATTAGTTATGTTAAGAAAATTTAAATATGCTCAATGTAATCATACTTAATTGAATCTAGCAGTATGACTCTGTAAAACGGTTATCTATGTTTTAATCGTAATGAATGGTATTTACTTTTGTTTAGAATAAACCTTTTGAAGGTGTCGACTAATAGCGAGAAACCGTTGAGCGGAAGCAATACTTGAGGAAGGCGATAGCAGAGCGACTCCAACCTACCATACAAGTATAAGAACAAACACGAATAACATCAAGATAATCGGATCGTAAAAAATTTTCATAAATAGTTTTACAAATAAATTCGGTAAGTTGGATATGCCATACACTCAAAAAAATGGGTGAGACTTGTCCAAATGGTGAAGGACAAACAGAAGAAGTTTCGATTCAGCACATAAACCTTTATTTTCGTAAATAAATAAATACATTATAAATAAGCACCAGTACAATTTCTGACATTATCATATTCAATGGAAATTGAGTTTATCATTGAGTCGCCATGAAGATCAAGCACCCGAAATCCACGCGCGAAACTAAAATTTGCTGCTTTAATTATTCCCGTCACAAAGAGTATAAAATAGAACTAAAATCAACTAAAAGAAGGACTAAAATCATGTTACGATAAAGAACACCTCGATTCAACTTCAAAAAATGGCGGGAAATAGACAATCAAACATTTATTCTGATCTAAATCCGTTTATTACGAAGGCCATTATGCGTGGCCCGCAAGCATCAGTGCAGTCCAGTAACCCGTACTCTCTACTAAATCAGGCAGCGAGTCTCATGTATTCTTTAACGAAGCTTAACTGCGCTGACTAAACAATTCTGGAATTATTTTGTAAAGTTAAACAGATTTTGTTTTGATGTGGGCAGAATTTTTTCTGAAACTTACGAAGGGACTCAGTAACCTTGTTGAGGAGCCTGGTAGGACTGCTGGTGCTGTGGGGGAGCCTGGTTGGAGTGTCGGGGCTGTTGAGGAGCCGGGTAGGTCTGCCGGGGCTGTTGAGGAGCCTGGTAGGACTGCCGGGGCTGTTGAGGAGCCTGGTATGACTGTTGGGATTGTTGAGGAGCCTGGTAGGACTGTTGGGGCTGTTGAGGAGCCGGGTAGGACTGCCGGGGCTGTTGAGAAGCCTGGTAGGACTGTCGAGGCTGTTGAGGAGCCTGGTAGGACTGCTGGGGTTGTTGAGGAGCCTGGTAGGATTGCTGGGGCTGTTGGGGAGCCTGGTAGGACTGCTGGGGTTGTTGAGGAGCCTGGTTGAACTGCTGGGGCTGTTGGGGAGCTCGATAAGACTGTTGAGTTTGTTGAGGAAATTGAGCTTCACCTTCGTACGTGACCTCAGCAACAAAGCCAGAGTCTCCATCCACATAATAAGTGACTCGTTGTCGACGCCCGTCTGGAAGATCCACGAAATAAGACCCGTCTGTCCTGTCACCGTCTCGAGTCTCTTGGTGACCGAAGTTGTTGCCAGAATTAGCCTCACTCACAATCCATTCGAAGTCGTACTGGGCAGGAGCCTGAAAAAATAGCTTGGTTAAATGACAGAGAATATAGGTCCATTCGTATAGTTAGAAATTAATACTCTCATATTCATCGTTTTCATTGGCGTAGAAACTGGATGTCGCTGCCTGACGATTTCCTGCAAAGTGGTTAAATACATGGCACCATTATTGTGTTATCTGAACTATCGATAATAACATTCAACACTCTGCCAGCAACAAGCACATGGAATAGTGCGATGACTTGTTACATGATTAACTGTAGACAAAAATTCGTACCTGATTGTCGTATACTGATGTCTGCTGCGATGGTTGTTGATAGCTTTGGGATGAAGCTTGTGGCAGAGGGGTGGGTTGTTGATAACTTTGCTGTGGAGCTTGTGGCCGACGGGCGGGTTGTTGATAACTTTGTTGTGGAGCTTCTGGCTGACGGGCGGGTTGTTGATAGCTTTGGGATGGTACTTGTTGCTGACGGGCGGGTTGTTGATAGCTTTGGGATGGAGCTTGTGGCTGACGGGCGGGTTGCTGATAGCTTTGGGATGGAGCTTGTGGTTGACGGGCGGGTTGTTGATAACTTTGGGACGGAGCTTGTGGCTGACGGGCGGGTTGTTGATAACTTTGTTGTGGAGCTTGTGGCTGACGGGCGGGTTGTTGATAGCTTTGGGATGGTGCTTGTGGCTGACGGGCGGGTTGTTGATAGCTTTGGGACGGAGCTTGAGGCTGACGGGGGGGTTGCTGATAGCTTTGGGATGGAGCTTGTGGCTGACGGGCGGGTTGTTGATAGCTTTGGGATGGAGCTTGTGGCTGACGGGCAAATATAACTATTCTGTAATTTATATCGGATTTTATCTTTATTTATATGGAATAATTAATGTCGGAATGGGGAACTTCTGAATTTATTCTAAAATAGTGGAAATTTTATTGATTTCGTAGTTAGGTTAGTTTTTTCGAAAAAAATGCAACATGCAATGCTTAACTGAGCATTAACTCGGTCACGGGTCTTGAACTGAAGTTTAAAGAAGAAAAGTTTTTGAGCATTTTTCCGAAGGAATGACGAAGAAAATAAAATTTTCTTAGAATTTAGTCTGATTTTCATTAATTATATACAATAATTAACAGCAGTATAGGGTTTGCAGTCCGCAAGTTGATGACACCTGTTCTTGACTGAGAAATATTGACCGATTGTTATAAAAATGAAGGTCTCGTATCAAAATTAAAAATTGAGTTTTTGCGCTTTTTAATCTCATAGAAAATATTTTACGGTACACATGGTCTTAAACCTTTCTTACCTGCATTGCAGCTGCGTTGTCTCGGTACTCAGGGAAATAACCTATCCAGTTATTTTCTCTGTTGAAAGAAGAAGAGGAATAATTTCAACTGCTGTATACACTGACAGAGTAACCTTGAATTAAAAATTCAAATTAAAGTTAAAAATTAGCTTAAAATTTCAAATTAAAATTTTAGATTGAAAATTTAAATTAAACTTTAAATTAAAAATTTTAATTACAATTTTAAATTAAACTTTTAGTTAAATTTGTAAATTAAAATTTGTAATTTAAATCCTATTCTTGAAAATTCCAGATAAATTTTAAATTAAAAATTCGAATTCAAATTTTAAATTAAAAATTCAAATTCAAATTTTAAATTAAAAATTCAAAATAAAATTTTCAATTACAAATGTACTTAAATTTAATCAGACTGAAGGAGCACCAACACGATCAGTTATTTTATTGTCTACTAAAGCAAGTTGGCCCGATATCGTGTCGTTCCCAATTACTTGATCCCGAAAACGGTATTCACTATCCAATAATTTAAAAACTATTGTTATTTTCAAAATCCTCGTTCCAACGAGCATTCAACACGGAACTCGCATTTTGATTTTGTTTTAAATTATAAGCCAATTTTAATTTTCTTAGTGTTTTTTTTTTTAATTTCCCTCTTTCTATTTTAATTTTTTTATATTACTTTGTATGTAAAAATTAAAAAAAAATTGTAATTAATTTTAATAATTCACAATTACCTACCTCTTCACGTTTAGAAATAAAATACTATTCTCTCACTAAAAATAAGTTTTCAAGGCTAGAGATAATATGATGAAACGACAAGCATTCTTGATGAACGCCACAACAGCCCCTATTTGTTTGTGGTGCTTCAAACACATACATGCACACGCTTTGAAAAATATAAACAAGATAATTCGTTATAACAAAGTTAAGAATTTCCTCTCTGCTATTAAACAATAAATTGATGTTAAACACTTTTTGTGATCCAAGAACTTGACAAATTTATAATTTGTACCTAAATCACTTTAAAAAAATCCTGATATATTTTCTCAGTGAAGTGAGTATTGATTCGATTATGCAACTAATTCATATCTGAAACATACACATTTATACTTATTATCCGAAATTAACGAAACAAATTATTCTTTTTGATCATTGACAGAGGGGCAGTTCAGAGTACTAGGATTGGGGCAGTTAGTTGCGTGTTCGAGACCGCAACAAGCTGTAAATGTTTTACGATATTAAAAATCGGCGACAGGCCTACGGCGCGCCCTACTAAACGCCGAAACCGCTATTCTAAAGAAGATTATTACTATTTACAATTGAATAATAACAATCTAAATATGATTTTGACTGCTCAGTAGGCAAGGAAATCTTATTCTTCTGAAAACATCTCAGGTGGGTGGCGTCCATCTCCCACCGTCGCTATTGCTGAACTGTGCAGTTACCCGCACACGCGAAGCTTATATACCCGTGCCCGCACTGGGAAGAATATGTATATCAGTGCCGGTCACGATGCCAATCAGGTGCAAGGTTGCCCGCTGGTGCCACGCGCTATCAAATACAGATCACTTATTACTTCTATGGTATATGTACTTTGATGGTTATGATCTCAAGTTTAAGTGATCGTAAGTCTACCGATTTAAGCTGATCGTAAGTCAATCGATTTAAGCTGATCGTAAGTCTATCGATTTAGGCTGATAGTAAGTATATCGGTTTAAGCTAATCGTAAGTCCATCGACTTAGGGTAATCGTAAGTTTATCGGTTTAAGCTGATCGTAAGTGTAGCGATTCAGGCTAATAGTAAGTATATCGGTTTATGCTGATCGTAAGTCTATCAATTTAGAGTGATCGTAAGTTTATCGATTTAAGCTGATCATAAGTCTATTGGTGAATGCAAGCTCTCTTTCGCACGTACTGTAAGTCTTTAAAAGAATCATTATATTTTGATTTTGATACTTACAGCGATCAATCGGCGATCTTTCAGCGATACTTACTTATAAAATACTTTTAGCGATCCATAGCTTGCTATGATCGCCATTAAATGTTTAGATCTGATCGAAATTAATTGCTTTCCGAGTTCATGTCAAAGGAATCAGGAAATTAAAGAAATTAATGTGCTCTGCACTCTCATTAATTTCTTTGCAGTTCATCAGCTTTTCAACTCAAATATGAATTCAGCCACTGCCCGTCCAGCCACCGCCATCCCCATCCCTTTATAGCCACTGCCATTTTAGTCTATTTCAGCCACTGCCATCTCTATCCATTTCAGCCACCGCCATCCTCAACCACTTTGGTAGCCGTCATCTTCAACCCAACCGTCCAAAACAGAGACTAAATTGAATGAAAGCTGTAAATGTGAGTATAATATGTATTTTTGCTTTACTGAACTGTCTGCATTATTAAGGTTCAAATCAAAAGCTTCGTCAGTGCGAATTTTTCAAGCCGTGGAAGAAATTCTTAGTGAATAAAAATGAATTGTTTCATGTGTTCATTAAAAAGTTAAAATAGTTATGAGCAAATTTTACCCAATAAAAAGCTAGAACATGAATGAGGTGAGGAAAGTTTATTGAATTTGAGTGGTTCTAATCGCAGTGTCTTTGAATATATAAAAACACTGAATTTCAGCTTTTGATTTGCCGGCCGTACAAACGAGTTTTTTTATAGTTCCTGAATTACTTGAAATATTTCATCTACGTCAAGTACACATGACAACGTTTTTTTCTTGTGGAGGGAATAGCATGCTCTATTTTTGCATATAAATATATTTTTGTATTATCTATTTCTATATTAGGTGATATACATTATTTTATTATATGAAGTATTTATCGTAAAATATAATTTTGAGCTTATGGCAGTGGCAGAGTGACTTGAGCGGGAGACACGCTGTTGCACCACAACGAGAACAAAGTTAAGCATGCGAACTCATATGTTGGAGCAGGGTGATCGTGCAAGGAATCATGTTATTTTAGTATTATTCTCAAATATTGTATCACAAGCGGCTTTTTTATCCATTTTAGGAACTTATATTCATTTAAGCTCCTATACGTAAAAGCGAGCATATAGAGTATAATTAATATGAAAATTGCATAGCCCAAAACGACAATGGTTACAGCCACAGCAGCCGATCAGGGCTAAGTAGTGCAGTTATACTGTAATAATTTGCGTTTAAAAATTACTTTTTAAAGACAACACTTCTGAAGAATCCAATGTCTTTTATGTTACACGTGTACAATGAATTTCTAATTTTATTTTCAAATCAATAAAAAATCAATTTTCAAATTTTTTTAATATATAACATTGTTGTAAATTTTCAAAATTATTTATTCTATCAACTGATTCAAACACTGTCTCTGACTTTATGTAAGTGTGCAAAATTTCAGATCGATTGGACAGGTACAAGTGTGTTAAATATAGATTATAAGATTTGTAGCAGACAAAATTATTTTAAAATTTTTCTTAATATTGATTTTTTTGCATTTTCAAAATTATTTCTTCTGTCAATTGATTCATGCATTGTCTCCAACTTTGCGCAAGTGTGCAAAATTTCAGATCGATTGGAGGGGTAGAAGTGCGTTAAATATCGATTATAAGATTTGTAGCAGACAGACAAACAACAAGAAGTGAGTTTCAAAAGAAGTATTGTAATAATAATAAAAGATAACATATACCTCTCATATGATGAAATCATAATGGTCTAGGGCTGATATTAGTTCTCAATATAATAAAATTGAATGATGAGCTCTTTTTGAACAATATGGTCTGACAGAATATTAAATTTACAGATTTCAATAACAACTCCCCTGAAAAATCAACTAAGAACAGCATTACCATCAAACCATCAAGAACTATCAAACCATCAAGAACCCTTAAACCACCAAGAACCATGAAGCTATCAAGAACCATCAAACCATCAAGAACCATCAAACCATCAAGAACCATCAAACCATCAAGAACCATCAAGCCGTGACGAACATCAAGAACCACTGTTGCAACTCATCAAACATGACCAGCAAATCTCACGCGGAAATCATCAAACCATCAAGAACCATCAAACCATCAAGAACCATCAAGCCATAACGAACATCAAGAACCACTGGTGCAACTCATCAAACATGACCTGCAAATCTCACGCAGAAACATGATCTACTCAAGTAAGCAGATCAGTTCTTCGCGTCCATCACAAAGCGAGAAGAATTGACGTGCAGCTGCAGCGTCTTTGTGTTAAGCCTTGACCTGCCCCTCTTCAGGTCGAGCACTCGCCCCACCCTAGGGGGAGTACCTAGTTGGGGGGCACACACTGGGGGCATGCCTAGTTGGGGGGCACCCACTGGGGGAGTACCTAGTTGCGGGGCACCCACTGGGGGAGCGTGCCTAGTTGGGGGGGCACCCACTGGGGGAGTGCCTAGTTGGGGGGCACCCACTGAGGGAGTGCCTAGTTGGGGCACCCACTGGCAATGCACCCAGTTTGGAAGACACCGTTAATTGACACTTATTAGTCCAATAGAATTAACTCATTTAATCAATAATAAATTTCTTCCGTAGATTTATTGCATAAAATAGGTCAACGAATTACTTAACGTTTATCTAAATTTTGATATAGTTAATAATTTTTCAATCCAGGAAAAACAAAGATACAGTGGACATTTTCAGTTTTTTTTTGCATTGTCATAATAAAAATTATTAATTTTGAGCTAATTATAGCGCTAGATACTGACATACCCAGCACTCACACGTCATCATGCTCATCGTCCTCCAGTTTTCACTTCCGACTCGCGCTGGAGTGCCCGCTTTTTCCATCAGGATCGACGATTGTGAAGACACCCGGCGCTTATTGGGTGAACTGAACTCCTCATGCAGTTAGAAACTCAACACTAGAGTACAGAATGTGAGCAGTGTTATGTACTCTGGTGTAATGTGAGCAGTACCATGCATGGTGGTAGTATTCGTACTATCATAACATATTTGAGAGAACCCGTCCGTCGTAGTGCATATTTGAGAGAACTTGTCATCGTAGTGCATATTTGAGAGAACTTGTCCGTCGTAGTGCATATTTGAGAGAACTTGTCCGTCGTAGTGCAAATTTGAGAGAACCTGTCCATCGTAGTATGTATTTGATAGAACTCATCCATCGTATTACATGTTTGAGAGAACCCGTAGATATTTGTGAGAACTCGTCCATCGTAGTGCATATTTGAGAGAACCTGTTCATCGTAGTGCATATTTGAGAGAACCTATTCATCGTAGTGCATATTTGAGAGAACCTATTCATCGTAGTGCATATTTGAGAGAACCTGTTCATCGTAGTGCATATTTGAGAGAACCTATTCATCGTAGTGCATATTTGAGAGAAGCAGTTTCGAGGAAATTAACTGGACAATTAGTTGCGAATAATTATTTATAAAAACCCAGTTTTAATAAACCAGTTTCACTTTCAGGTTCAAAAATCCAATAAGTATCATTATCGGCATTTTTCTTGTATTTTTGTATAAAACTCTAAGATTTTTAATATTAAATACAATTCCAATTATGTCAATGCGTTTAATTTTCTGTCTGGAACTGATGTTATTTTACATCGGCAATAATGGTGTACCGGAGGGCAGCGAAAGAAAATTCGGTAATTTCCAATTTCCATTTCTTCAAGGCTAAATTAAAATAAAGTAACACCTGCAACAAATGAGAAATCGTTAAGAAGAGCACTCATTATTAGAGTTTTGGGTTTGATCTTACGACGCCAATTCGCCTCGTTTTGCCGGAACAACGGATCGTAAATTTACGTGACATGCGCACCGTTCACGACGTGCCAATACAGATACGGGTAAGTGAAGGGCATGGGGCTCACGTGTCCGTATGCTAACAAGCTCGTTAGCGAGGTTTCCAGATGAGTCTTTTTTTATGGACAAGTTTGACGATTCGGTCCTTTTTTAATTTCCATGGCCGGTTAAAAATATTTGCTGGTCTTAAATTCCAATGTGAAAGAAATTATAAAAATTTAATTTTTGCACTGCAATTAGCAAATTTACTTTTAAATATTGAAATTTGGCAGGTTTTGGCCGTTTGAGCGCCTTTTTGTGAGCTGATTTGAGCGTATTTCCACAATCTGGCAGCCTTGCTCGTCGAGCACTCGTAATACAGTCAATTTTAAATATTATTTGTGAACGCCCCATATTCATCCCCCGCTAACTTTCAAAATTATTTTCACCAGTTTTTCAAAGTTATTTTCATGCACCATTTCTTGAAAGTGAAGCAAGAAATCCAAACAGTAATCAACTTTTTCGTTATCTATTAATTAAACGAACACTTTCTTCTGAAACTTCCTGAAAATGAAAGTTTTAGATGAAGAGGCTTTATCATCGGTGCTTGTTTTTCCCTTATTAAAATGGCAGCTGAGGTTCCTATTCCGATGTTAATTACAATTGACCACGGCTTTACATTTCACTATTAATATCATGTAAGTCATAAGCTACAAACATATAGGGAGAACTTTCAATAAGAAGAATATAATTGGTCTCTCTGTTGCATATGTGGTTCATCACGATATCGCGCCATGCATGCATTAAGGTTACTTTTTCACTACTGAACTACACTTGATAAGCTTTGTCTATACGCAAGCTAATAACTCGTGTCAAGGTAAGTATAAAAACCTGAAGGTTGAAGGTAGAGCTGAGTCTCCCCCGAGGCTGAGTAACTGAGCTAGCAAGTCAAAACAGCGGTTTGCCACTTAACAACCATGTATGTAACCTGGTCGATTGTTATTCACTGTTCGACTGTTACCATGTGGATAGTTATTCATTTGTGTAACTTATGCGCAGTAGTGATTCCCAAATAGTTACAGGATTTATTTTTTTTACTACCCGGTGCGTGCCCTCCCATATTCCCCTGTAACGCGATCAAAATTCTTTACAAATTTCATCATGCTTTTATCATTAAGTTCTAAAGAATAACAATTAATATTATGAGTCAAAAAATATTACAATTTATAGCTCAGAAATAAAAAATCTGTTACTTTATCCAATAGCAAAAAGTTACAATACAGCAGCCTAATAAGGGAGCGATGATGCAAATGCAGATGATGAACTCAAATCTGTCAGGCAATTTGTTGAAACATATCCACGAGTCACTCATGGCCGCTTTTGGTCTCAAATCAAAACAATTAGATTTTTAATAAAAAATGATTCATCAATGTAAGCAAATACTTTTTTCATTTTAGGTGTATGGTATTTGAAGCAGACTTAGGGTATTAGAATAGAATAGAATAGAAGTGCCGGCGCTGAAGAAATAGGCCCATGCCCTGTTGCCGATTCTTGAATTTTTCGTGACTTGATTCACAAGGGATCCGGCCTTTGGAACCCGATCTTTCCATAACTGACGATTGATTTGAGATAGCTGCTGGACTGTTGTGCCTGGTCAGTTGTGGAAATATCGGGTTCCAAAGGCCGGATCTCTTGTGAATCAAGTCACGAAAAATTCAAGAATCGGCAAAAGGCCATGGGCCTATTTCTTCAATGCCGACACTTCTATCTGTCTCTTATACACATCTAGATGTGTATAAGAGACAGGCATNAATGGTGTACCGGAGGGCAGCGAAAGAAAATTCGGTAATTTCCAATTTCCATTTCTTCAAGGCTAAATTAAAATAAAGTAACACCTGCAACAAATGAGAAATCGTTAAGAAGAGCACTCATTATTAGAGTTTTGGGTTTGATCTTACGACGCCAATTCGCCTCGTTTTGCCGGAACAACGGATCGTAAATTTACGTGACATGCGCACCGTTCACGACGTGCCAATACAGATACGGGTAAGTGAAGGGCATGGGGCTCACGTGTCCGTATGCTAACAAGCTCGTTAGCGTGGTTTCCAGATGAGTCTTTTTCTGGACAAATTAGACGATTCTGGCCTTTTTTAATTGCATTGGCCGGTAAAAATATGTGCTGGTCTTAAATTCCAATGTGAAAGAAATTATAAAAATTGAATTGCTGCACTGCGATTAGAAAACTAACTTTTAAATATTGAAATTTAGCAGGTTTTGGCCGTTTGAGCGCCTTCTTGTGAGCTGATTTGAAAGTTTTACCACAATCTGGCAGCCTTGCTCGTTGGCGCTATGGTGCTCAGCACGCGTAGGTGACGCGAGCCTCAGCACAGCATGATTACATGGTCTTTTTAACACATTTGTGAACGCCCTGTACTCATCCCCTGCTAACTTTCTAAATTATTTTCAGAAATTTTTCACAATTATTTTCGTGCACTATTTCCTGAATGTGAACCAAGAAATCCGAACATGAATTCGTTATCTATTAATTAAAACTAACTTCTGAAATTTCCTGAAACTGGAAGTTTTAGATGAAGAGGCTTTATCATCGGTGCATGTTTTCCACTTGTTAAAATGACAGCTGAGGTTCCACTCCCGATGTTAATAACATTTGACCACGGCTTTACACTTTTCTATTAATATAATGTAAGTTTTAAAGGGAGCGTCTGGCCAAAATTTTTTAATTTTGGCTTTTCCGGTTTTTAGTCTCATCTTAAAGCTGACGTTCTGCTCTATCCAACGGTACCAAAATCATCTCTGTACATTGATTTATGCGTTCAAGACAGATCGCGAAAGGGTGGGGGGTGGTGGAGTTCTTTCACATTAAAGATGGGCGGAAATTCCCGGTAGCATACTTAAATAGCTAGTCCACATACGATGTGCTTCAGTTACCCGCCTGCAGTTGTACGGGAGGGTTTGCGTGTCGTCGTTC